GCCCCCAGATAAGGAAATAGTGGCCAGACAGAGGCCTAGCACACAGCAAGACTTCTGGAACAAAGTCAGTTCAGGCTTATGTGGTCATCAGCACGAGCACGATGGATTTTACCCCCTTCTGAGATGAGTGGCAATAGGACAGGGTTCACCACCTCCCCCTGCCCCATGAAATTCAGAGAAAGTCCCACCAGAAGCGAGCAAACATGGGGGGGGGTACAGTCAAACCGACAGGAAACCACATTTCACCATTTCCCTGTCAAACACAGCCTCCTCTCAGCACCACCAGGCTGTAACTCTTCAGCTTTCCCACTGGCCAGCTCCTTTATCCCAGCAGACTTCCACAGGACCCACAAACAGACCCAGAGGTAGGAGGGCAGGCAGCTCAAGAGCAGGGTGGCCAAGCAAAAAACAGCCACAAGCAGCGATCCAGCGCGTCTGGAAAGAACCCGACGTTAGGAGAGGAGGTGGAAGAATCCTGCCCCTGCTGCTGCATCCTGAGAGGAAAACCCAGAGGAGCTGCAGGCAAATCAGACAGAGCAGCAGACGTGCAGGTCCCGCATCAAGGTGAGGAATGAGCCCAGAAAATGAGCTTTAAACCACCACACGACTCCTGAAGAGCTGCTAATGCTGCGGGCTGAAAAGGCCTCTGACACTTCCATCACCATTTTTCTTTGGAGCAAGTCAACCATTTATTGTGACCTTTTCGGATCATAACAAGATGTCTCCAGACAATGAGGCTACAAGCTGTTTTGCAAGACACAGCTCTAATTAGAGAGTGACTTCTCAGATGTGAAATTCCCACAAGATTACAAGATTTGGTGGCGTTTTCTTCACATTAGGAGATTTTTTTTCATCCCGGCTTAATTTTTCATGAAGTTCTTTGTAAGAGCATTCTCTGTGCATCGATTGCTATGATACCTGGAAAGGAGAAATGGGTGTTTCCCAGGACCTCCTGCTTAGGATCGAGCTGTCTTAAGGCTGCTTTTGGATCCACAGCCACCTCTGCTTCCAGGCAACGTTCCTGTGCTAAAGTGAGCTGAAGCATGTGCAAGGAAAGAGTCAGCCCTGAGACGTGACCAAAGTCAAAGAGGAGCTTTAGTGAGGGAAATTGCAAAGAACATGATATGGAATCATTTGCAGAGCAGAGCTATAAAAGCAAAGTTCAGAAGCTACTCGTGCCTGCCAGTTCCAGATGTCCAAACAACTTCTAAGCAGCCAAAGGAACTGGCACAAGACAGTGTCCCCGTTTGATCAAATTTAAGGTCACTGAATGCAACTCATCTCCACCCTGAAGCCCAGCCAAAGCTGTGGGTGACCCAGCTCAGCAGAACTGGAGGGACACACACTTGTTACCAAGGGGAAGAGCTTTCAGATGCTCTGCTCTCAGACTGAGAGGCCATCCTGCAAGGGCTTGCAGTAAAGGCAGCAGCACATGCTGCTGGGCCTGCTTTCAGGAAGCATCCCAGAAGAACTAGAGGATCCTCTGCTGTTTAGGACAACTCAAAAGCCAATTCACTTGAGGTTCTGGTGAGCAGCAGAAAAGGGAGCAAAGCCAGGGCCTCAGGCTACTGCGACTGGTGGGTATTTAGCAAACAGAAATTTTCAGTTCTCCTTATCAATATGTAAGTGCTGGCTGTCAGAGGGGTCTAAAATGATCAAGACTGCCATGGACACTGGTGTGGCATGCAGAGAAGTGTTCAGCATCTGCTGCAGAAATGCTGCACTTCAGATGAAGAGCAAAAGTTTGGCTGAAGCAGCGGCGGGTCTCACGAGGTGCACTGGACAGCAGACCAGATGTGCCCAAAATCATCTCCCCTATGGGAGCAATCACCTGCCTTCAGTATTATATTCCTTATACCTGGAAAGAGCTGTCCATGATCTGAACAGTGTGTTTTAAAGACCACCACGATCCACGGTGTTAGTTCTCCCATGCAGAACTAAACAGTAAGAATGCCCTCTCCAGTAACATTCAATAACTGGAAATCCTCCAAGTCAGGTTCCACCTTGGAAAGGTAATTTCCCCTCATTTTCAATAATGTTTTGCATTTGCCTCATCCCATGATGATTTACCTGAGGTCTAGGGTAAGCATCTCTCGGGATCATCTCTTCTCTGAAGCTCTCAACGCATATGCAAGTGCTGGTGGTGAAATCCCACTGCCAGCCCCTAGGATTCACGGGGGAGGGGTTGGGGCAGCAGGACATTTTCACCAGGATCCCTTGCTCCAGAAATCTCCTTTGGAAATAGTGCGGGTCAAGGCCGAGGTGCTGTGGTAAGGTTGGTCAGCTCATAATTACTCAGGCGAAGGCATGAAGCCAAGCGCGTCAGAACGACACTCGCCACCAGACGACCTGGGGACAAATTCTACATCCAACCGAAGTGATTCAGAGCTTCTGCAGAGCCAGGAGAAAGGCAGGCTTGCACGCAGAGCTGGGGCAATACCCCCCCCAGCTGACAGACAGCTTAGCAAGTCTGCTCAGATAAAAAGCGTTTTTACACAAGCGGAGGAAAGGAACGGTGCGAAGCTCCCCCCCCTCCCCTCTCCGAGGCTGCCACACTCACCGAGGGCTTTGCAGAGCTCTGGATGTTTGATCCCGATGGTTTTCAACCTCTGCAGCAGCTCTGCTGAGGTCATCTGCCTCACGAGGTAGAGCCCCACGGAATAGCTCTGGAGGAGGAAGGGGCAGAGTGAGCCAGGCTGCCCCCGCCCCGCGGGCCCGCGCGCGGCC